GTGACCAAAGGATGGTTTGATACTTCTGGTAAGAGAACAAGATTTTTATTACATTAGAATCCAGAGAAAAAATTGCAGGTACCGATGCAGAAATTTCAAGTAACTTTTCAGAAATTTAGGAATGATTGAAGAGAAAGGATTCCGTTTGAGAAAGTTATTTAATTAATACAATAAGGAACAAGGAATCTGAGGGGGTGGAGGAGGGAAAGGAGGAAGAAGAGGAGAAAACTGTCATTTCCTTAGGATTTTCCCACTGTGATTGTCATTTTTGAGGCACTTTTTGCAAGTCAAATAAGCAAAGACAATTTTTGACACAGTTGTGATTTTGAATACACCTTGAATGTCTTAGGTACAATGAAAAATGCCTTTGCTCATAAAGGAAACATTACTGGGGAAATCCTAAAGCATCTTTTACTCATATTCATTTTGGCTCTTGTTTGAAGGAATCTCAGCCATCTCTGTTTTGCAGGAAAGGAATCCACCCAGATGAAGACTTACAATTTATCTTTTACATATATCTGTATTTAGTTTTTTGTTGATTGGCTTTTGTGTTGTTATCATTTAATATGGACTTCTTGCACTGAAAAAAAATTGTCTAGAGACTAATAATGCTATAAATTGGGTGTTAATTGTAATTCAGCTCAATGGAAGTATTTTTCTCTGTGTTTTAATTTTTTTGTTTATTTTGGTTGAATAAGGGGTAGGGACCCTGGAGGAAATGAAATTGTGTTATTAAGCAGGGCTTGATCATGAAGCACCTTTTATACTCTGCTAAAGCACTTAGACTTTGTCTAAGAGCAGTTGGGAACCATACAGGATTTTAATGAAAGAAGAAGTTCATGGAGTGAAGATTTGCTGTGATTGTGATTTGGACACTAAATCAGAGGACAGGACAGAACTAGAGAGAGGGATAATGGTTTAGAAGACTTTTACAGTAATTCAGGTGAATGTTAATGGTGGTCTGAAGGAGGTGGTGGATAAGGGATGCATTAAAGAGCTGTGGCAGATGCAGCAATGATACAACTTAGTGGTTATTTGCACAGAAGCTGAGAAGGAGATTGAAGCATCAAAGGTGTCTTCCATATTTCCTTTTATTCTTGGACACCTGGATAGAAAGTGGTATCTTTCACTGAAGAGGAGAGCACAGGACAAAGAGGAGCAGGCATTTCATGGAGTAAAATGATGAGTTTGGTTTTGGATTTTCCACTCGTAGGGAGAGTTTTAGTTTGTGCTGTCACATAACAAAATACCATAGTCTGGGTGCCTCCAACAACAACTATTTGTTCCTTCCAGTTCTGGAGGCTGGGATGTCCAAGATCAAGTTCTGGCAGATTCCATGTCTGCTGAGGGGATTCTTTCTGGTTGGCAGACAGCTGCTTTCTTGCCATATCCTTAGATGGAGGAGGAGTAGGGAGAAGAGGGGGAACCACTGGTCTCTTCCTCTTCTTATAAAGGCACTAATCCCATCGTAGGATTAGTAAGGGCTTCACCTTTATGACTTCATCTACACCTAATTACCAGGCTTCCCTGGTGGCGCAGTGGTTGAGAATCTGCCTGCTAATGCAGGGGACACGGGTTTGAGCCCTGGTCTGGGAGGATCCCACATGCGGATCATCTAGGCCCATAAGCCACGACTGCTGAGCCTGCGCGTCTGGAGCCTGTGCTCCGCAACAAGAGAGGCCGCGATAGTGAGAGGCCCTTGCACCGTGATGAAGAGTGGCCCCTGCTTGCCACAGCTAGAGAAAGCCTTGACACAGAAATGAAGACCCAACACAGCAAAAGTAAAATAAATTAATAAACCTAATTACCTCCCAAAGGTCCCACCTCCAAATACCGTCACTTTAGGGTTTAGGGCTTCAACATATGAATTTGGGACGGGGGGGCACAAATATTGGGTCTGTGGAACACCCATTGAATAGGTACACTAGGCAGTTGTATCTTGGGACAGAAGCACCAGGATTGAAATGAAGTATTTTGAAGTATAGGTTTTGGATATGTGTGTACAATGGTTATACATGCAGTCATGGGTGTGTGTATGATTCCCTGTGGAGAGTACTGGAATGAGAAGAGAGTAGGTCTGTGGTTAGAAATCTGGGAAATACTGACATTTAAGAAACAGACGGGGAAGAAGACCCTATGAAAGAAAGCAAGGAGTAGTTAGAGGAGAAAGGGGGAAGCAGAATGTGTTGTTAAGAGGCATTTCAAGAGGGAGGAAGTGGGCTGGAGTGTCCGTTCCTAGACTTCAATTAAATGAGGGCTTAAGAGGGTAGTGGGATTTAGCAGCATGAAAATCACTGGGGTTCATGGTAACTACCCCTTCTGTGGAATTGTGGGCATAGAAATGAATGAGGGGAGGAAGTAGAAACAAATGATGAATATAAATTGTTTTACTCTTTCTAAAATAATTGCAGGAATTTACACTAAAATACCCTAGCCTATCATAGGGTTGTTTTAATCAAGGTGAGATTTACATGAGATTGTCCATCCCTTAATGAACAATTCCGTGGTATTTAGTACACTGGCAGTATTGTGCAACCACTACCTCTGTCTAGTTCCAAAGCATTTTCATCAACCCAAAGGAAAACCCATACCCTTTAAGCAGTGGCTCCCTATTCCCTACCCCCACCCCAGCCCCTGGCAGCCACTAATCTGTGTTCTGTCTATAAACTTACCTATTCTGGATATTTCATGTAAATGAAGCATGCAATATGTGATGTTTTGTGTCTAGCTTCTTCCCCTTTGCATAATGTTCTTGAGGTTCCTCCACGTTAGAGTATGTATCAGTACTTCATTTGTTTTTATGGCTGAATAACATTCCATTGTATGGATAGACCACCATTTTTTTATCTGTTCCTCTGTTGATGGGCACTTGGACTGTTTCCACCTTTTGACTATTGTGAATAATACTGCTATGAACACGCATGTACATGTATTTATTTGAGTACCTGTTTTCACTTCTTTTGAGTATATATCTAAAAGAGAAATTGCTGGAGCCTAACATCGTTTTTTAAAACTATACTTTTAGTGTGGGTGGGGGAGGGATGGCTTGGGAGTTTGGGATTGGCAGATGCAAACTATTATCTGTAGAATGGATAAACAACAAGATCCTACTGTAGAGCACAGGGAACTATATTCAATATCCTGTGATAAACAATAATGGAAAAGAATATGAAAAAGAGGGTATCAATATATATGTATAACTGAATCACTTTGCTGTATAGCAGAAATCAACACAACATTGTAAATCAACCATACTTCAATAAAATAAATTTTAAACGCTATACTTTTTTTTTTTTTGCAGTACGTGGGCCTCTCACTGTTGTGGTCTCTCCCTTTGCGGAGCGTAGGCTCAGCGGCCATGGCTCACGGGCCTAGCCGCTCCGCGGCATGTGGGATCCTCCCAGACTGGGGAATGAACCCGTGTCCCCTGCATCAGCAGGTGGACTCCCAACCACTGTGCCACCAGGGAAGCCCTAAACACTATACTTTTATATAATGCTAACTGAGAGTTCACAAGAAGCATTGTGCATTGTAGAAAAAGTTGATGTACCCAGTCTCTTTTCAAGTTCTTTACATTCTCTTTGAGATAGGATTGGTGAAACCACCATTCAGTAATTAACTAACACATCAAAAGAGAGATAAGTGGAGTGAAAAAAACGTATAATTTTTAAAGAAGGAAGTGCCCTTTCGAATTGAGTTTTGAGTTTCATAAGAAGAAAGCACTTCAGGTGAAGAGTTTGGATAAGTTGACTCGTGCAGGAGAGAGAAGACAGGACAGGGCTAAGGTTGGAAGTTTCACAGTTTAATATTTCTGAAGAAAGAGTGCAAGTTGCACCCTATTTGGTGATAAGGGAAAGAAACACAGATGAAGAGCACCCATGGTGCTGATTTCATAGCTAGCTGACTCTAAAAATTAAGATTGTATTTTTAAAACCAATTTTTACTCATCTCCCAATAACTGACTCTTTTTATGTTTAATTTTGTGGATTGTAATTCTCCATTCAGAGACACCAGTGTAGATGGAAGATTTGAGTTCTGTCTATGATAAGCAATCTAGCCTCCTATGGTTCAGTTAAATTTTATTCATAAAGTAAAGATTAAGACATTTTTAGAGGTGGAACAATGATTACATCTCCTGTAAAATTCTTGGTGTTTTAAAGTGGCATTCATTCTACATCCTTAAAAGTGTCATTTTCCTCTGCTGTCTTTCCTTTATAGAAAAAACTCCTGGGAATTGATTATGGAACTGAGATTTTCCAAGACATGGCTCTGTGATTTAACCCCCAAGGAACTTCCTAAAGACTTGGGAGAGGAAAAATGTTTGTTCAGTATCTGTTAAGTGTTTTATTTGTCTGAGCTCACTTAAGTCCTATTACAACCAGTAGGTGGTAGATCCATGATATGAACCTCAATTTACTAACTCCAAAGTCAGGCCTCTGCTCACCATATAATAGCGTGCTAATTAGGTTCCTTCTTATGTGCTTGTGGCTTGTGAGAGAAGTAGGATGAGAAAGATGCTGAGGATAGCAGGAAGTGGAGCTCTGATAGGTGAGCTCTGATGTTTTCTAGGAAGACAAAAAGGGGTCGGGCAGGTCCTACTTGTGCCACACATTGGTTGTCCCTAAACTGTGCCATGTTACTTCTCAGGGAAAGATTCTGGATGATTTATCAGAGGAATATTAATTCCTCTTAAAAATATGTATCTAGGATAAGTCCAATGCTGATTCAGAGGGGTATCTTTTTTTTTTTTTTCGTGGTACGCGGGCCTCTCACTGCTGTGGCCTCTCCCGTTGCGGAGCACAGGCTCCGGACGCTCAGGCTCAGCGGCCATGGCTCACGGGCCTAGCCGCTCTGCATTGTGCCACCAGGGAAGCCCAGAGGGGTATCTTTTGACAAACCTCCATTTCACTTACTCTATCTCTATTCAACATATATGATCCCAATAAGTGAACTGCTAAGATGGACACTTTTATTCATATTTGTGTATGTATCTGTTTCAGGCAGAGAAAGCTGATGGATTTATCAACCTGCCTGATTTCACTGTAGAGAGAGCATCTGAATGCAAGAAAAAGCAGTAAGTTGTCTATCATTTTCCACAAAATATGGAGCCAGGATAACATCTCTTTATAATGTTCCTCAGGTGATAAGGTGATTTGGAAGTTAATGATGGTGACTTCAAATGCCTGAGAATTTTGACTTTATGGGTTGGAACCCCAAACAATAATAGAAGCTTTTAACCTCTTGTTTTCTGGAATTTCATTTTGTGGAGCAGATGGATTTTAAAACCCCACGGAGCCCTGGCAGGGCGTGCTGTTAATGATGGTGTCTGTGATCCAGTGAAAAGCAAGCTGCCATCCAGGACTGGCAGGGTGACGAGATGTCAAGGCTGTGTCCTTGTAAAGAGGATGACTACATAGGAGTCACCAGAGCTGCAGATATGATACAAAACCAGTTTCTTTTTCTTAGTTCATGAAATTGTCAGTAACATCCTTGAAAATTGAATTCTATGAGATGTCTTAGACTTGGGGATTAGCCCCCTGATATAACTGAAGTCCAAAAGATTTGAGAGCGGACAGGAACCAAGAGTCACCAGCCCATGACTCTAGACCAGCTATCCAGACTCCCAGTGAAGTGCTCTTCCCATGATAGGATCCAGCTGCATTTTGCATATGAGTCCTCTTCACCTTTCACTTATTCTTTATTCTGCTTTTGACATCTTTTCCTGTTTTATTAGCGTGGGGCAGTTCCCTATTGACCTGTGTTCCTAGTGGCAAAAATTGATTAATTTAGTTTTAATGAATAAACTGGTGTTGGCTTTAGGTCTTTGCCATTCTGATATAGCTTCCTATCTTTAGTGATACACGAGGCTGTGGTTTTGACCACACTGGTCATTTACAAAATCTCTGGCCCATACAGCAGGACTTCCTGTCTAAATGGTAAAAGGGAAATACTCTGTTATCTTCAATGTTCTATACTTTTCTTTTAAACGAAAAATCTGCCTTATATTTTTCCTTTACTAATAGAGAATAGCTTGGATAAAGTTTTTGATGTGTTTTCACAGTGTAGAAGTTTTATGCTTGATTGTTTTTCTGTAAATACAATTATTGTATATGCTTGATTGAATTTGAATGAATACTTTGCTTGAAGGAATTGATCTGAGTATTTTGAAGTGATACATCTATCACTTTATATTTTAATTTATTGTCTGTTTATAGCAAAACAGCAAATGAAAATAAAAGAATATATCCATATGTTTTAAATAGAAACTATTGATCAGCCACGACTCAGTCCTGGTCTGGATGTCCTGACATGATGAATTACCCCTCTGCTCTCTACATAAAATAGAGATTAGACAGTGGGTATTTAACGTAACTAAAACTTCTGTTTTTGTAAATTAACAAAGAAAGCAGATGAAGTTACCATACTTATATTTGACTGTTTCACTTTCGACTACATTGTTGACTACACTAACTTCTAATTTCTTATGTGTCTGTGCTTTTCCCCCTTCAAGTGCTTTTAAGATCAGCCATCCACAGATCAAGACCTTTTATTTTGCAGCTGAGAATGTGCAGGAAATGAACCTGTAAGTAGAGAAACATCACTAAATCCAATCTTTATGGGAATAGATTACTTTGGTCAGGTGTCTGAATTTTAAGCACATGTGCATATCAATTATTATGTTTTTATTTCTGCTGCTTTAAGGATTAATCTCCTTAGCAGTTATAAAGTCTTCTTGCTTTCTTTTCTAGTATTTAGAAGCATTTTGGAGAGCTACACAGATCAAAATGGCTATTTTAGGAAGAAGTAATAAGATTCTTCTGAGGGAACCACTAAGTTGAGAAAGGAATAGAAGACATTATAAGAAAATGTTAATATGAGAATCAGCATCACAGGGAGAAAGGCTTGAAAGAATTGTGTAACCAATCTCACAGCTTTCAGAATTCTACGCGAAAAATATCTCTGCAACATTTCATAGGTGCTGTGTGATTATCATGATGATTCATGGTTATCATCTCTCCATGTTCTATCCCCAAATTTTGCAAAACATCTTTGTTTAGAGTACCTCTAATATAAATACATATCCCTAACTCCATTTCCTGTTTGCTCAGTTTAAGTAAGTGGAATACACTGGTAGCGTATTACTCGTCTTGCGACATCCCCTGCTGGTTTAGATTACAGTGTGATCGCAGTGGCTCTTATTTGGATGAGGCTCTATATATTTAAGGTGCTTGAGGCATCAGAGGGCATTCTATTTAAGTCCTAGTCTCAGGATTCAGTGTTTCTTATTACTTTCACTTAATTAATTAAAAATATATGTATGAAAAAAAATATATATGTATGGAATAACTATTATGCGCTTCCTTGCAGCAGATCCCAGGCTCTAGACCTGAAAAATATAGACATAATCCCTCCATTCACAGAGCTTATCGTTTAATCTATTTATATTTTTATATTTAATTATATATTTATATCTATTAATTAATTAATCAGTTTATCTTTTAATAGATCCTTATTGGAGTATAATTGCATCACAATACCATGTTAGTGTCTGTTGTACAGCAAAGCGAATCAGCCATGTGCACACACGTGTCCCCATATCCCCTCCCTCCTGAGCCTCCCTCTCATCCTCCTTATCCCACCCCTCATATTAATTTATTTAGACATAATGATTTTCTTATCTATCTGTTCTCTGTAATTTCTCTTTGGCCTCTTGCTTTAGAAATGTAAAGGAAAAAAAAGCTGCTTTTTACTAAACATGTATGAGCAGGAGTACACACACACACACACACACACACACACACACAGACACACACACACACAGAATGCCTTACACCATATCCCCAGGGAAGCCTTTTCTCCCTAGAAACATTCTCATCTGTTCCCTGCGTTTATCTCGCCACCACAAACCTTTAGATGAGGGCAGAATTGCTCTTTACCAGAGAAAGTTAGAGAAACCTGCGTTAGAAATGACAAAGCAAGGTACTGACAACGGCGTCTTCCAAACAAGTCTTTAATTTACTTGGACAAGGAAAGAAGTTGTTTCTATCCTCCTTTTGACTTTTAACTCCCCCCCCACCCCCCACCAGCTTGCTCAAGCATCTGAGAAAAATAATAGCAGATACACAAAAGGAGGAGATAAAAACTTCTCAGTCAAAGCTCTTTATTTCTCTTTTTATTTGCGTTGGTAACGCTAAGTCCTATTGACTAGCAAGGTCTAGGTGCGTGGAAAGCTTAATGTCTTGCCCAGCGGTCCTTGGAATCATATAGTAGTGAGTGCCAGTCCGGAGCCGAGCCATCCATCAATCCCAAGTGGTTCTTTCTAAGCTTTAATGGTGGTGAAACAGGGCTGCCCATCAGCAACCTCTCCCCACCCCCATAGGCTCCCTTGGTGCCTGGCTTCTCCCAAACAGCTTCTTGTATCTCCAACTTTCTTCCGGTCCACATCCTTCCCATCCTGTTCTGGGACTGGTTCTTTCAGAGTCGTTCTGTTCTCTCCAACAAGGGCAGAGTAAGACTGAGTTTACCAGAAAAACAATGACTGCGAAGGGTTTTGTTACCGAGAGAATTTCTCTACCTACACGGTGAAACACATTTTAAGCCAGTAAAAGTGTGAGACCCTTACAAGATTATCTGAGTCAGCTCTATTTCAGGCAGATGTGCTTTCTAAATCACACATCAGAGTTATTTAGCTCCCTGCCCACCCAGTCCTCCAGTTTTTGTTTACATTTCTGGTCCATTTATCTTCACTTTTCAACATACTCCCTTTGCAGAGCTCTATCTAATGGCAAGTACAGTTGCATGATTATTAGCTACACACTCTGCCTATTTGACTGTTAAACCAAAGCCTTTTATAGTTATGATAGCCAAGATCTCATGGCCTGTCTATGCTGTGAAGATCTGTTAATTTTACTTGAAATTATTTTAGTATTTGTTTATCTTTCCAGCTTACAAACAAGATGTAAAATTGAAATTTGAATGTGAGGTGTCATGACCCATATATTTGAATCTCTCAGTGACCTTTATACTCAAAAATTGTCCGTCTGGCTACTCATAAATAAATGGCCCATTTTGTCTGTGCCTGAATGTATCACAATTAATGTATCATAATTTTTCATTTATAATGTCATTATTAAGCTTTGTTATTCTGAAGATGGTTTTTCTAATAGCCAACAATGCAGAATCCCAAAAGTTAACTTCTCCCACAAGAGTAGGCGCGGGGGTGGGGGGAGGGTTTAAAGCTTTTTTTTTTTTAATTAATTACTTAATTTTTATTTTTGGCTGTGTTGGGTCTTCGTTTCTGTGTGTGGGCTTTCTCTAGTTGCGGCAAGCGGGGGCCGCTCTTCATCGCTGTGCGTGGGCCTCTCACTATCACGGCCTCTTGTTGCGGAACACAGGCTCCAGTCGTGCAGGCTCAGTAGTTGTGGCTCACGGGCCTAGTTGCTCTGCGGCATGTGGGATTCTCCCAGACCAGGGCTCGAACCCTTGTCCCCTGCATTAGCAGGCAGATTCTGAACCACTGCGCCACCAGGGAAGCCCTAAAGCTTTATTCTGCAGCTCTCCTGAAGAGCTTCCTTTCTTACTGATGAGGTCTGTTTAAGCTAGGACGGAGTGCATCTGGGTATTTCTTAGTGAGATGCAGAGGTGCTAGGGAAGGAGGGAGTAGAATTTGGAGAGATGGATCCTGTTTCAGAATTTCGCCTCCTTGGGAAACTGCCTTTTTGGGTGGTGACGTTTCTCTCAGTGATGATGAAGGAAAAGGTAGTTAAGTTTAATAGAAGCACTGTGTGTTCTGCAGGGACCCTCAACTTACAAGTATAGGGGTGAGTAATTAAAGGTAATGAAAGGGTTGGTTTCTAAACAAAGACTGGTGGTAGCTGCCTTTCTCAGACGGTGTTTGTGGGAAAAATGTCATTTCTACATCAGTTTCTTAACACTTGTGCTTCTTCAACACACACATTCTCATCCAGTTAACATACAACAAACTCCCAGGAAACATCTGTCATCTTCTTTTATGTAAATATGTCTTTTTGTGCATCCATCTATTTAGACACAAATAGAAAGTTTGCTACTGCCTGGATGTTTTTTTAAAAAAGTGCTTAGCAAAGGAGGTACTCCAACCCCGTGGGTTCTAGAAAGAAAACAAACAAGATTCTGAACAATCGCTAGTTTTTCCCAGCAGGTAACTGATGGTGGCAATTAAAGGTATATGAGTTTTGGGTAAGGGCTGAGAGGAATCTGCTTTACTGTTCAATACTCTTCTGCTATATCTGGAAAGGAACTTAGAAACGTCTTTTCTTATTTCAGGCATTCTCAATTCATCTATTTTTTTGTCTTGTTATGTTAAAAAAAAGAAGTTTGTCTATTTCACTTTGAGATGATTGTTTTGCGGGCAGGGTCAGCTTATACATTTATGAAATCAGGAATAAACTAGGAATTAGTGAGCCATTAAATTCATTGTGCTTTACCTGATCAGTTTTTAGAAATGTACTTTTAAGTGTTTCTTTTAGTTGAGTAATGCATAAAACATATTCTTGTAAAGAACCATGTAATACAGAAGTATGTAAAGTGAAAACCTTCCCATTCCCCCAACTTTACCTTCCCGTTCTACTTCTTTCCCTAAGATAAAGCCACTTTTCACAATATGACTATGTCCTTTCTGAGGCTTTTCTTTGCATACCAAGTCTTGTATAATACATATGCAAATATATAGTTTTAGAAGCACATTGAATCAGGATAAACACTTTGTTTTGTACTTGCTTTTTTCACTTAATAGTATGTTAGGATTTTTCCAGGCCATTACAAGGCCCCCCACCCCATCTCAGTCTTTTTATTAGCTTCTTAATAACATGGTACTTTTGGAATTGGTACCATACTTTATCTGTTTTCCTGTTAATGGACAATTATATTGTATCAGTTTTTTCTTTTTGCCTTTGCAAGCCTTATTGAATTAATATTCTTCCACATTTATTTATGTACATGAAGGTGTGTTTTGTAGGATAGATATTTATAACTAGGATTATTGGGCGAAGGGGATGAAAATTTATGTTTTGAATAGTATCATCAAATTACCTGCTTAATATTGGCTGTTCCAGTTTTTCATGGTCGACTCAACAAAGGATGAGAATGTTTTTCCTAAAATCTAATAGAAATCAGCAATATTTAAAATTTTTGCCAATCTAGTGGTGGAAAATATTTTCCTGTGCATTTCCCAAAATACTACTGAGCCTGAGCCATTTGTACTTTTTTGGTCATTTTCTGTTTCTTAGTTTTGTTTATTTTTCTACTGAGTCTTGATGAGCATTTTTCAGTTCCTATGGCATGATCTGGGCCCAGGTATTGGTCCAGTTTTAAGTAGCCATGAGGACTCATGTTTATCATGGTGCAAAAGGGGACTTTCTAAATGAGGCTGGAGCTCATCTTCCGTCTTGTAGGCAGTTCTATTTTATTTATTTTTAAAAATAAAATTTATTACATATTTCCTGTTAAAAAATAATCAATACAGCAAGACCATGGCAAAATGAGGGTTGGGTAAGGGTTCCTAATTTGTTGACAATTGCAGACTTGGGAATGTGCAATATTTGTGCTATGGTAGGGGTGTAGCTGGGTAATTTACCAGGAATTACAGGACTAGAAAAAATAAACCATATAGGTGAATCAATAAATGCATAGCATTATTATCATTTTGTTGATATTGATTGACTTAGGCTACTTATGTTTCAAAACAAGATGAATACACATTATGGGATATTTTTTAAAAATAAAGAAAACTAGAAAGAAGTGGGAAATAAATCACTTAGATTATCTCTACCCCAAAATGATATTTTCCCTTTAAATAGAAGGTTATATAGCTAGGAACATATGAAATAGATACGTTTTGTGTCTTTTGTGTATTTAAATAAGTTTCTAATTGAACCCTTGAAAAGGAACTACAGTGGCCTGAAGTCATAAGCCAAGTTTGTGTTCCTTAAGGTTTGTCTAATTCTTTTTTCATTATTGATGGGTAGTTGAAATTCATTGCCAATAAATGGTAAATCAATGGAAGATGAGACATTGTCAATTTTTACCTTACATAAAATTTTTCAAGAAATTGAAATTTTCCCCAGCTTAGGAATAACTGTGAAGCTCTGGCCAGATCTTTTTACTGATTGATATAAAGATTGTGGTTTAAAAATAGATCATCTTCATTTTGTGTGTGTGTGTGAAATAAGCTTACATTTTAAGAATTAAAGAGATAGAACTTTAAAGGTCAAGTTAAGAAATTCATTTTGATGGTTGACGAGAATTTCAAATACACAATTACAAAACGTATATTTATTCGTATATTTAGAATATCTAATGTAGTTGCCCACTTTAACTGGCTGTATAATGGGCCACCTCATTTCTTACCTGACAAAGAATGCCCTAAGTACGGACAGTATTGTGAAACCAGAGGTCTTAGGTTTCCATACCACAAACTTAGGCTGTTTCTAGAAATGTTTAGACTGACCATAGCACTATGACTTAATTTTGTTATAAAGTCTGGTACAAGACCTTCCTTTAGGGTCTAGCGTAAAGGTGAATATGTTGGGAACCAGTGTCTCTGGTCAAACATTTATTTTCTACTTGAATTTTAGGTGGTTAAACAAATTTGGATCAGCTATAATCCATCTTGAATCCACTACAAAGGATGAAGGTATGTTCTATTTTCAATTTCTGAAAATTTAGCAAGAATAGTAGAATAGGGTGAAAATACAATGTCATGTTCTATGTAGTCTTGTTCTAATGAACCATACTTTGTTATTTAAAATTATCTGAAAATATGTATAGACAGACATAGACACACAGGCTCACCAACATGGAATAGAGCTTCCCATGCTGGCTAAGAACGCTTTTCACACTTCACCCACACATTAGCAGCTGTAGGCTTCACTGGGATCTCAACCAATTGCCAATGCAAATGTTTTATTGCCCCACTTACTGAATTCTTACTCATAGACATGATCTCGTCATGTTCGAGACAGATAACTTTCAGCCCACTGTTTCCTCTCTGATATTTTAGTATTTCCACCAGGTGTGTGCTGAGACTAATTACCCTAAGTTTGTACCAGGAGCCTGAATGTCAGATTGGGACAGAGGCTGTATTTTTAGCTCAGTCTTTAGCTTTCAGGGTTCAAAAGCTACAAGAGTCTAATTCTTCTTAATGATGAAGTTACTCCTTAATATTGAGAAGAAAGAGGATTTAGGTGCCAGGGTCACAGAGCTGACACTATTTCTGAAATGCTCAGACTACATAAAACTTGGAAATTGTAAGTAGGGAGTTATATCTTTGGAGAACAAAATCATAAAATCTTAAATTTAGAAATGAAAAAGTGGCAACTTGATTTAAAACAATAAAGAAGCGTAATGCAATACTGTGAAACCAGTGTCCTGATCATCTCCTTGGTCTTCTTTTCCATAAAATAAACACCCATTATATATTTGAAGTATATTTATAGATTGTGAGCAAAAAGTAACTACACAAAACCCTTCTCCTTTTCCTGGTATGTAAGGCCTTCTATGATATGGCCTCAAGCAACCTTTCGGCTTTGTTTTCCACCCTGTCCCGTAGGGGACTCCGAATACTTGGCTCAGTCTGTGTCCTCAGCCTGGTACTCCCATTACTCTGTGTGCACCATTGATGGTTTACTTATCCTGCCATTTTCAGCTCATTAAGATTCCTATGCTCAAAATTAATCACTACTGATCTTATGCTCCCTTAGTGTATGACTCACACCTCTTTTGAGGAATTAGTTTCATTTTCCCTGAGCTATGGTTAGTCGTCTTTCTGCTTATTGGACACTCTTTGAGGGCAGAAACCCTCACAGAGGGAAAGTCTTATGTATCAGGTAGCTCACTAGATAAGTGCTTTCTGAATTGGGTTGGAAATGCAATAGCCAGATGGAGAAGAACCTCTGCTCATGCATTATGGAATAAGTGATGACCGTGCTGAAACATTCAGCGCTTTCCTTTTTGTTATAGAATGCTACAGTGAGAGTGAACAGGAAGATCCCGAGATAGCTGTCGAGACACGACCCCCTCATTACTCTGCGGAGACTCTCTCTCCTTTGGTACGTACCGTCGTAATTGGTCTGTTGGTCATCGATCAAGTGTGTGGATGTCGTTCCTTCCAGTTGGGTAGAAACTACCTTGACTAATACATTTTTAGAGGACGCTAAGTTAAGGTACTCGCCAAAGAGCAAGTGCAGTTCTCAGGGCGCTGATTTTGAGCCTTCTCCATAGCAACCCATTTATATGACAAATTCGGTGCATTTATGTGTGACCCACGGATGTATTATGCTCAGAGGGTTCATGGTAATGCAAAGGACTTCTAGGTAATGGGCCAGTGCTTGCGAAGATTTGTTTTATAACGTTTATTTATATCCTACTTGTTCTCAGAAAGAATTGAAAATACCTTGCCTAGGTGCATGCACTCTAACGATGTAAAATGAATGTAAAGGGGATGAAGGCAATAACATGAAGAGAAAATTAGAATCAGAAAGAGAGCAGGAAGCCAGGAGTGGGGTTGGTGCATTAAATCTGGGTATGGAATGATTCAGTCTATTTACTAGAGAGAAGTCCAAGCTTGAGTCTAAGCTTTGGAAGCATCCAGTGTAAGTTCAGGTTATTAATGGACGTTAAGACTATGGAGAGTTGCTTTATATTTGGATGTTCATGGACATTATAGCGACGGCATGTAGAAGGAGTCAAGCAGAGATCTTTGGCGAGGTTGATTTATGGCTTTTATACCTACCATATACCAGCACTTATATAGGTACTTTAAATATATAATCATTTACTTCCCTCAGATAACCCTGAAATGCAGTATTATTTAATCTGCATTTCCCTGATTACTAATGAGGTCAAGCATCTTTTCATGTTTTTTTTTGATATTTGGATTTTCTGTTCTGCTAAGTGTCTCAAGTCTTTTGTACATTTTTAGCTGTCTTACTACCATTATTTTGGATTTATAGGATTTCTTTATTAATCTGGACATTAGTCCTTTGTCAGTTAAAAATGAGGCAGATCTTCTTTCCCAGTCTATGGCTTTTATATTTTTTAAACTCTGTTTCTTTTTGTTGACAGATGCTCTTGATTTCTATGTGTCAGGTTTATCCATCACGTCCGTTGTGGTTGGTGTCTTTGTTTCTGGCTTACATATTGTTTCCTATTCCCAGCTCATGAGGACATAGATATTACTATCTCATTTCATGGATTAGGAAACAGAGGTTCAGAGAGGTAGAATGGCCTAGTCATACCCCCAGTAAATGGAGCACCTGAGATGGGAACCCCGGTCTGTCTAGCTTTATAGCATATGCTCCTTCCATTCTACTATGACACTCGTTCATCCATGGACCCGAATAACTATAAGTTCTAATAGGTTACTGAAACTCCTTCACTTACCAGACCTCTTCTGCCAGAATTTTCTGTTTTGTGTGATAAGGTTTTCAATCTTTATTTGCCAGTTCCTGGGTTTAAGGTGTTAATATCATTTAAATAATGACTTCTACTGTTTTTATCTGCTGCCAGTGGGGAATTGTGGTCACTTTTCTAATTTATTTGGCAAGCAGCTGAGACCAGAAATAAATAGTTATTGAATGAATATTTATTAAAAATCTATTAAATAGGATTAGCCAAAGTTAAGCAAGACATAAATAAAATTAAACTTTGGTAAAATGTCGACCAATTTGTGCACTAGATTTACAGTATAGCCTCTCTTAATATAGTTTTCCCTTGAAGTAGTCTACCTCTTCTTTTAAAATCAGTTTCTGCATTTGGAAAAAATGAAATAGATGTGCCTTGCTGGCTTAATAGAGAACCCTGTGTTTCTGTTTAGTTTCTTTTTGCCTTCATCTCTGTTTCTCTGTGTCTCTCCATTTTTGTCTGTCTCTTATATGATTTAGTTTTGTTCTAAAATACTGTGATTTTCAGTTTTATAATGGCAAACTATATCACAGATTACAAAGAACGTTGTCAGGCCATCTAGAACTCTACTGGATGAAAGTAAAAGCAACAAAGTTGTCTTCTTAGATGAAGGATCATGGCTCAGTTGCATTATACAATGATAGTCTTACATAATGTTAGAGTAGGAGCCCAGAGAATGCTTGTTTCCAAACAAATAAATGAAGGGATGGATGTGAGACCAGTAGGTTAGGTCATTGAATTGGGAGCATTCTTTAGAATGTCATTCTAAACGTCAATCAAATGTTATTCCTTAAAGTTCTAAGAAGTTAAGCATTTTTTTGAAGACCACTAAGGCTAACATTATTCTTTCTGAAGAAATGTATTAGAAATAGATAAATGTTGAACAGTTAGATTTTATTTTCCTTAGAAACAGAGTATGTTGTTCCCGCTCATGTATTTCCCAGGCAGATTTTGTTTTCTCTTGTTTCTGAAAAACAGACATGCCAGACACTTGGTTAAAACAACATTTAAGCTTTTTTATCTAAACAGATGAAATTTTAAAAATCGTGCTAACTTTTATCCAGAGCATGAAGCAGCTTATTGTTTTGGCTCAATCTGGCATAGGCTAGCCATGACTGAGCTATACAAGCCTAGGCAAGAAAACAAAACAAAACAAAACAAAAACCAAAAACACCCAAACCTTTCCCAAGTTCTTGCTTTTAAAAAAATTTTTGGGTAATGAACTTTCATTTTGGAGTGATGAATTCAAAAGTATAAGATCATACTATTCTGGAAAATTATAAAATCTCGAACTAAAAGTTTAATTCTGTGTGCAGTCATTTTGATTGCTCTAAAGATAAACAGTAAGACTTCAGCACCAGACCAATTTGGACCTGTTTCTAATGGGTGGGACCACATTCTGCAGAGAATAAAGAACATTACAGGGTCTCCTTTGAGTGAACAACAGATTTCTCTTTATGTCTTTCCTTCTTGAGAAAGCTCCACAGGATGGATAGTGAAAAGAACATCCATTTATTTACAGAGAAATTAAAAATGGAGAGTTTTTCCACAGGCTCAAAACAGATGGAACTCTGTAGGTTTCACTTTGGAAGATCCTTTGTGGAAATCACTACCTGTGATTCCTTGAAACTCACAAAAGAGCAAAAAAGGAACTGACTTCAATTACATTTCCAGCTCATTAATTTTATATGTTATAAAGTGATTTAAGAGATCAAAGATCATTAAAAATTTGTTACAGATATTTTCCCCCTAAGTTTAATTTTTAAAAAGTGTCTGATAACTTGAGCTGTGCTTATATGCTTATTCATTCATTTAACAAATATTTATTGAGAGCTACTATTCTAAATAGTACTTGGGACGCAACAGTAAATGAACAAAGATTCATTTCTTCATGTAGCCAAACTTCTGGTTGAGGGAGACTGAAAATAAACAATCAACATAAGTAAATTGTCTGCTAGGTCAGTAGAAGAAGTGGAGCTGAAGGGGTCAGGACAGTTTGTGACAATGAATAGGGGAACCAGGATAGGCCTGAGTGAGAGTTGAAATCTGAGCAAAACTCTTGAAAGGTGGTGTAAGAGTCAGCCAGGTGGATATTCAGGGAAGGTGTTTTCCAAGCAAAGGGAGCAGTTAGAGTCCAGATCTCCCTGGTGCATAGATGACAATGCAAAGAGGACAGTATGGCTGGAACAGGGTGAACCAAGGTGAGAGTTGCAGGAGATGAGGTTGGAGGATAATTGTGTCCATATGTATGGGGCCTGTGGACCATTAAGGACTTTGATGTTTTGAGTTCCTTAGCCTTTGGAAGTTTTGATCAGAAGAGTGATGTGACTGGATCTCCATTTTAAAAGGGCCACTCATGCTGCTGTGGGGAGAGACCCCGTGGCATAGGGGGAAAGTATAGAAGCAAAGAAGTCTAAGGGGGAGTGTGCAGTAATCTAGTGTAGTGAATGTGATGACTGGGATGAGGTCATAGTTGAGAAATGGAATGGTTGGATTTTGAATGTAGTTGGAAGGTAGACCTACAGATGGATCAGATATGAGAGAAGATAAATATCCCAGTTTTAAGCAGCTCATGCAGATTATTTTAACATGAGAGTCCTTATATATATATATATTTTTTTATTTTTATTTTTTTTATTTTTTTATTTTTTTTTGCGGTACGCAGGCCTCTCACTGTTGTGGCCTCTCCCATTGCGGAGCACAGGCTCCGGACACGCAGGCTCAGCGGCCATGGCTCACGGGCCCAGCCACTCCGCGGCATGTGGGATCTTCCCGGACCGGGGCACAAACCCGTGTCGCCTGCATCGGCAGGCGGACTCTCAACCACTGCGCCACCAGGGAAGCCCTAGTCCTTATATTTTGATGCTTTTTCAGAAGTACAATTCCTTTATATCCAAAGGATGGGAAAAAAACCCTGTGTACTCTGGCCCATTGGCCAGAGGTCAAAGATTAAACACAAAAAGGGGTAAAATCAATTTTGGAAATTCAAATTTAATCTTAGTAGGATGGCTCTTGCACAGTTGTTTACTAAAAGACATGTTCTTTCGATACGTGCACTATGATAAAATAATAGAAGTGCTTTCAGGTGAGATAGTTGGATGAAAAGTTGTTAGTGAGTACATATACTTACAAAGAAAAGGTAGAAAGAAAAATTCACCCTCTGTCCTCAAGATGCAAAACATTTTCTTAAGCTCTATGGTTGAGTACTTAACTGATTTTAAGATTTTTCTAAAATTAGATTTTACATTTCGCCTCTTGCTTTAACAGTTCATCTTCTGGCCGTCAGTCACAGGCAGAGGGGCTGTCCGGCAACCTCTCCTGGGCCTCCATGTTGTTTGCCCCTGCCCCAGTTGGGGTTTGCACTAGCTCTTGCCCAGGCTATTTTGAAATAGCAGCCTCTTTTTTTATTTTTTTGTCTCTAATCTCTCTTTCCTCTTAATAAAACCACTTCCGAATTAGTCTTCCTAATGTGCAGCTCTGATAAATTGATTCAACAACAAAAGACCTTTCAGTGAATCCTCATTGCTTATCAAATTAATCCTCAATTCATTGGCTTGGTATTTCAGGCCCTTGGGCTTACTTCTAACTGCCATGACAGTCTTGTTGCTGATTCCTCCTTTTTCATCAGCCCAGTAAACTGCCCCCTATTTCCCCAAAGCTTTCCAGACGTTTCTGCTCCTGTACCTATATTTACAAAGTTTCTCCACTTGCAGGAACCATTCACTCTCACCCCAATTCCACCTTCTAAATATCTTTCAAGACTGGTTTAAATGTGACTTCTTTCATTAAACCTTCCCTGGTCCTCTGAGACAGGAGGATCTTTCCTTCTTCTAAACTCTTTATATTTCTATAGTGCATTTTCTGGGATACTTTTTTCATGGTGTTAGTCTCTGCCTTGAATTATAGATTTTGTGTATCTGGTTTATTTATCTAATGATTAAATTCTTAAGGCTAGAGGCAGTGTCCAATATCTTTTTCTTTACCCGCAACGTCTATGACCTTGTCTAACACATATTTGAACCTAATTAAATATTTATTTAATGGATTGATAAATGGGCGCGTGGGTGATGATTGTCACTTCCTCCACTTCCTCCACAGATCTGCAGCTATACAAATATTCCCCCATGTGAATTAGAAAGTTACTTGACACTTGTCTAGTGATTTCACTTGGCTTTCAGAAGGATGACTTCATTCGACTCATAGAAGTCCCGTCTTTTACAAATGAAGTCAAGTGCCAGAGAAGTAAATAGAACTGTCTTAAGTAACCTTTGCAAGCTTAAGTTTACCTTTTATTACGAATATCTTTTATGTTCTCTCATTTGCTCTTTCTGATAATCTAAGACAGACAAACCACTGACAAATTTTTTTTTCTGTATCAACCACGTGCCAGGTATTTTTCAAAGAAGGGGATGCTGAACTGAGCTGGACAGTCTCTTCCTTGGAGCATCTTAAGTTCTAAGTTGAAGAAAAGTCACAATAATTTGTAATTCAAACAGTCTAAGTACTGATAAATGCTATGAAGAAGCGTTAACTGGGGCAGTGTTCTAGGGAGTGGCTGGGGTTGAGGTTGGGGAGGATATTGCTTTGCTTACGACTGTCAGGGAAGAGCCTGCTAAGGAGGTGATATTTGCCTTGAGAATGAAGTGATGGGAAGGAGTCAGCCAGCCCCAAATCCACAGAGTGAGCTTTTCAGGCAGAAGGAACCAGAGATGTGCTCAAGGAACAGAAAGAAGACCATGTGGTTGGAAAGGAGAGGGAAGGGGAGGTTGAAGGAGATGCTGCTGGAGAGGTAGGTAGGGGTCCATGTGGGTTGTCTTGGCTATAATGATGACTATGGATATTCTACTCATGATGGACAGTCACTGGAGGATTTTCAGCAGGACAATACTGTGATGCATTTTCTGCTTTAGAAGTACTCTAGCTATTGTTTGGTGGGTGGACTGGGGTAGGGAGGGGTTGGGTAATGGTAGAGGCAGGAAGTCAGTAAGCTAGGACCTGGAAGTAAAGCGGTTTCTCCAAGGCCGCTTGGATACTAAAGACTGGAGTGAGGAATGGATGGTCTGCAGCTCATTGCCCAAGGTCATGCAGAAGGCCAGTGACAGAGGGGGCAGTATACCATACAAAGTCTTCGGGTTTTCAGAATGTTTCTACTAGCATATGGTGGAATTATAAACACAATACCTCCTAGGGCTTAACAGCAATTGGTTAGTTTGTTTTCATTAATATGGCCAATGGAAGGAAAGAACAGCTGTGTACTTTCCTTTTTTTCTCATTTGGTTGTATTTTGTTTAGTCTTTTATTTTTTCATATTCTTTGACTAATGTTGCTTAAGATTTCTATGCTGACTCACTCCTTTCTAATTACAGGCTTTTGGTGGCCATTTTCAACTCTTTTTTTCCCCATGTTAAACTTGTGTTTTAAAAATAATTCAGAGAAAAGAATTTTAGAGCTAATCAGCTTTTGAGCTAAGCTTCTTCGATGAATAAAAATCTCTTATACAGAAGATGGAGAAAAGCAATATTGATTCTTTTATTTAATCATGTACATACTCTCCTCATTAAAACTAAGATTTTTTAAATGTCTTTCATTTTCTCATTAAAAAAATAAAAATTTGAAGCCCAAATGTTCTGAAATAAATGAAACCACATACAATTATTAATGTCCGATAAATAAAATAATTTTATTTGAGATTCTGAGAATACTTTGCAGGAGTAGTTGCATTGCAGTCAGTAATGGTCACCCCTGGGTCCCAGGGTTAGGATAAGTCATCCATAGCAACTTCACAGAGAACTTCAGGGTGCTCCTGAGTAAGAGACTGAACTGCTCTGGGCTGTTTGCCTTCACATAGCTGGTTTTCTAGACCAGTCTTTGTAGCATTAATTTATTACCAACTAGCTATTAATTTATTAATTTACTAAGGTCAGGCACAAATGCAAAAAAATGGAGATGCAAAAATGATTAAAAGCAGCCTGCTCTCAAGTAACTCACCGAAAAAGAGGAACAAATCCATCAGCAATTACAGTATTAGTTGACAAATAAAATGATACTCTACCTGGTGTGATAGAAGTAAGCCCAGGAGCACGGGGAAAAGATACCTACCTCGCCCTGAGGCCACTGGAGAAGGCTTCCTGGAGGAGGTGGCCCTTGAACTGACCCTTGAAGGTTGGGGTTGTGTGAGCCATGCAGGAGTGGGCTGGAGAGGAGAGACTGTTGCTCCTTTCTACCTTCATGTGATTTGCAGTGGGGAGTTTTCTGGGTGTGTAATTTGGATGGTTCCTAGAGGCACTGAGCTAAAGGTTCTCTGTTTGCCTTATGGCTATGAATAGCTAGAGAATGGTAGAAATAATAAAGCAGGATTTAGCTTTATTAAACCACAGGGTTTATAAAGCACATTCCCCTATCGATCCTCTGTAACTGCACTCCAGGTAACCTTTAATTTGTGTCAATCTCTCTTCTAACGAAAACTCCCTCTGACCTGGTACACACCATCCTTTTCTCATGTTGTTTTTCCTTCTCTCTGGTTCTTTTCCTTATGCCTTTTTCCACCCCTCGCTCTTCTTTTCTCCGTTTGAAAACCAACTTTATACGTGCTACGTGGTGCTAGAGAAAGTGGGCTGGAAGCATTGGCTGTGTGTTTGAGGAGTACCACAAGCAGAAATACACTCCCCTGAAATTTCTGATGCTCATTGAATGTGTCTTTCCTCATTCTTTTAAGCAGAGTTTTGAGGTTTAAAAAGGCTTATGGAAAGTGCTGCAGCAACAGCTTTTTGGCACAAATAGCCCATTTTGCTATAATCAAATTACAGTAGTATCAGCAGGAGAAACAGGAAAAGCTCGTGTTTGGTCTCTTTTCAGAAAAGGAAGCTGATCCCGCTGAAGCCAAGTTTTACTAAAATAGCTCACAATAGGGAACTGTGTCAGGACTGGGCCTGAATGGGTATTTTTGTTAACATTTATTCCTTTGATCCTGCTAACGAGTAAACAAGTCTTGGCTTTATTTGGACAGTTTGGTAGGGGGTGCATTACCTCCTCTGGGTAGCTAGGGTTTTATTTAGTAAATTACAGATCTGGATCTCCTAGTTAAGTGGTCTGGGTGATTGAAGGCAGCTGGTTTGAAAGATTTTTGACACATTCCTGAAAGGAAAGTTTTCATGTCATGCCAAATATATTATTTTTAAGAAGATGTGTGTGATGAGTTAGTATCTTAACTAGATGTTTTAGTGTCATGCTACTAAAAAGTGGATTTATTGCTTATTTGACAACCCATTTCTAGCATGCAGCCAGCTAGGCACTCATCGGACACTTCCTGACTTTTTCCATCAGAACTCAGAGCTTAGAACCTGCAAAATTCTTGGGTACATATTAATTTGGAACAAAGTCAACTATCGTGAGTTAGTTGCAGTGATGCTGAGGTTTTGGGGAAAGGAGCCTACTTTGCTCTTTGGCTTCTTCCCTCTAACAATCTCCTCCCTACCAGTTCCTCCACTTCCTTGGAGATCTGAATGCTTGAAATTGACAGGAGTATCTCATAGGGTGACATAATGAAACCAAACCAGAAAAAGCCTTCTCTGTCTTATCTGCCATTGGAGATATAGGGTGACCCCTAGAGCACTGGTGTTTAGATTTTTTGGATTTTTATTGACCAATGAAATTAAAAATGGAGGAACAACATATAGTTGCCAAATCTTTATTTTGCTATGGAGAACATTAAAAAAAATCTCCAAAAGACAAAAGCTAATAGCTACCATTACCATTTTCCAAATGAAGGCATATATTTTAACATCAAAATGTAACAAGGATAAAATCTCAGAATAAATGAAGTCCTTACCCAGAGAGGACATTGGTGATGTTGCATTGATGTTTTCTCCATGGACTGGTGAAAATTTTGCCAAGGATTGGCATTCACCCTTGGATTGTATGTCAGGAGCTGCTTTCAGAAGATCCTACACCCACCATCAACCCACTTCTCATAGTTTTTGGTTTCCCTTTAATGAATGAGGAGACTGCATATGTATTCCCGTCTTCTTTGGTGAAAGTTTATTGATATTTTAAAATTATTGAAGAGTGAATGAGTTAACATTATTTCACTTAACCCTGCAGTTATGAGCTTATACTGGTCATGTGCTAAGGAACTGTGACAAATATTTGAGGGTGTAAATGTATGTGTTGTACCCACATCACTGGTCTTCCACTCAGTTAATATTATTTTGCTTCCCGTCTGGCTCCAGCTTTTGCTTTCCCTCTCTTAATCACCTTTCTCAAGATTTTTTGCTCAATTGGTAAGAATTCAGTGAGAGATTGCAATCTACTTTTTGCTCAAAGCGTCCTTCAGTGTTCCAATGAATTCCTCAAAGGAGTCTTTTAGTTACCTGGAGAGCATTGAAGAGTAGGGTAATTCATGACATGGAGATTTTTCAGATCCTAGAGCAGTGAATTCAAAGTTATACAGATTGGTTTTGGAAAATGGGATCATAGTGTCTGTAATACTGGTATAAATACCATCTCTTTTTCTTTTGATTCCTTTATTATTGGCAACTTTTTGAAACGCTGGAATACCTTCCTTGAAAATGAAAAGTAGAGAATGCTGACTTAATCATGATTTATTTTATTCTCTTTTGCTTTTATTTGTGAAAAACAGGCTGCCCAGCGGGCATCTTCGTCTTCACCCAAATTGAATGAAACATCGCGTTCTTTCTCTTCCATGGAAAACATAAAAAAGACACCCAGCAGTTTGTCTTCCCCCATATCTAGAGAAAGACTGCCCTGGATGGACGTGATTGACATCTCGTCTGCCGCTGAAGATGTGGGACGGTCTGTGACACGCGCTGTGCAGGCCCGCTCACCTGCACCCTCGGAGGCAAATGGTCGCAGGGCCCTGGAAACCAGCTTCGCCACATCAGAAAGTGGAGTTTTGAACTCTTTATCCAGTGATGACGCTTCTTCATTGAGTAGCAACCTAGATCATCTTTGTGCCCCAGACAAGCCGGCTGGATCAGAGATGACAGAGAGAGGTAAACCAAGAAACAATTTACTCTTTTTCGAGGATGAATATTTGTATGTGGATGTGGAATGCTAACGTCGCTTGTAAAAAGAATGTTTAAAGTCACGAATGATTCAATAATTAAATGGTCAAGTGGGGCTAAGTCCAGGGGCTACTTCTGTAGAGGAGAGGAGATCGCATGTAGAAAACTCCAGCTTCAGGACCATTTATTACCCGCTGTAAGTGTCACCAAGCACATGCTTGCAACTATGAGACGTGTTCAGAAAAGAATGATACATTTTCACCAATCTGAGGTAAAACTTGAGTTTTTTGTTTTGTTTTGTTTTGGTTTTTATTGGTCCCATGTGCTGTGCTCCGGAGCTTGTGGTGATTAGATCGACATTTTGTAGATGACATCACCACCATGGTTCCAAACATACGCAGAGCTACCACCTTCCCTGGGCTTTAAGCACAGATGAGGTCTGGGTCCTCACAGGTCAGCTCCTGAGGGGCCTTCCTACGTGGTGAGCAGGAGGACAGACAGTCTACGTGCACTTTGTGGGGCAGCACGAGGACTTTAGAACCGAAGGAGAGCACAGCTTATGTGTTTGAAGAAAAGGATGTTAAGTCTTAGCAAATTAAAGAGTTTATTGGAGTATAGAAATGAAGAGTGTGAGCTTTCTTAATACTCCATGATTGTTGGTCCTTGTCTTTTATTCAGACTAACTTTTAAAAAATGATTAGTTTTCAGTCATGATGGGTCTTTCCTGATGGTCCGTGCCTTACTCATTCCAGTGTAAAACAAGTTTACCTGATAGCAGATACTTAAAAATGAGAGAATGACGAGTTTGATCTGTATTCTTTCAGTGCACCATTGAGGGGAAGCTGACTGGCTAAAGTCCCATGATCGCCAGTCTGGGTGGCCTGATGACGTAGGTGACAGCTGTCCCCTCTCCCCCAGCCTAATCAGGGAAAGTTTCTTTAAGTTCTCAGATTTTCATAGTTACCCTATTAATTTGATATTTGGTATCAGAGTAATTTAGGCCAAGGATTACAACTACAGACGCGTGTGTCCGTTGTCACTGCTCCCTGTGACCTTATGTGAAGATGCTTTACATAAGGCAACTCAACATAAGTTGAGTTACCTGCCTGGCCTCTGATGTCATTTTTGTTTGATACCCCTAATTTAGGCCAATTATCTACTTTACAGTTAGAAAAAATGGAGTAAATGAAGGCATTGCCAAAATAACCTACTTTTAGAGGTGAATGAGGTAGGGGCAGGGGGATCAATATTGGACTGTACAGAATGGAAGGCAGTAGACTCAAGCTGGCCTCAGCTTTGTGAAGTGTTTTGATATGAAGATATTGGGCTTAATTTGTACCTCTGTGGAAGTATGAAATTGATGCAAATTTTGAGGCCCGTGGTGCAAGTAAAAAGGAGATAATTTTAGGTTCAGCATAAGAAACTTCTTTTTAACATTGAGAACTGTTCAAAATTGAATAGGCTCCTTAGAAAGTAATGTGTTCCTCGTCATTGAAGGTGTTTACTCATTCTGAGACAACCATTTTCACTGGGTATTAATTGCATGTTGTGTGTCGATTACAATTTTTTCTCTTATGAAGATACACTGAAGAGGGAATTTAAGTACCTTGAACTAGATGGCCTCTAACTTGATACTTAGAAGATCCTTCCAGATATAGGCCTGGTGGAACTAAAGAAAATAATGAAGAGGACCATATCTATTATTTTCCTGCTAAAAACTCTGGCTTTAATTATTGGGCCATTGGTAGAACTAAAATGTTTGTTTCATGCATGCACAAATACACATACACTCACGTGCGCATACACACACAGCACCCCGGGATGAGGATGGCTTCAAAAGCAAAATAGAGAATAAAATTCCATTTGCATTCGTTCTCAAGAGATAACGCCGCGGATTGAGTTTTCCTTTAGGACGAGTGACCTGATAGTCATGGGAAGATGCACACAATTCTTGTCCATGTCTAATGTCATTCTGGGCACGAGTGTGCTGCAGAGCCTGGCTGAGTACCAACAGCTCTTTTAATCTAAGAAGGAAGAAACCAGGTATTTTAAAATTTTGAGTTAGGTGCAGAGTGACCAACAATATCTGTATGCTTCTTCAAACAGCTTGACATAAAGGTATTCCTTGGAGTAGAAAGGAAGAGAAAATAAAACTATTTTTCCCCTCACTGATCTGTTGGCACTTGCCATATGTTACAAAATTTTTGCTGATGATTTTCTCCCGCTGCTGGGGATTTGGTTAAATTCCCAGCAGAGTTAAACCACGTAAAGTCATTGCTATGGAAACAGCAACCCAGTTTTCGCTTGCGTTTGCGATGACGTGCTGTTGAGTAATCAGATTGAGTACTGTGCTTTCTTTTTTTTTTTTAACGTGTGTTTGTGTGTTGGAAAAGAAGGTAGTGTTTCATTTTTGTGACTTCTAAAAATTATTATTATTTTAGCTGCCAATTAAAAAAAAAAGAAAAGTGCTGAAATTCCTGTGTTTGAAATATTGTTCAGCATTTTTTATAATAGGGATTGAAGTTCTGACATGGTCCATGACAGGAGTTAGGATTTTAGATTAAGTCCTAGTTTCAAGATGTGTTTGCTGGAGAAAGAGGCTTTTATCCTAGAAAAAATTCTTAAAGGTTAATAACTGAGCCCTGAAACAAGCAGACAGAATGTATTATAGCCTTCTTTTTATTTAGACAATGAGAGAAATATTTTGCAGTTGGTATGAGATTAAAATCGTGGTTGCTAGAATTTTATACCGAATTTAAACCTTTTTAGACATTTTTCCCCTGCAAAGTAAGCTATTTAAACAATGCAGGGTGTTAATTGCATTCTATTGCCTTTCGACATTGGGAGTTCAGAGCTCTTCAGACTCTTCACTGAGTCTTTCCACAAAGTGTAATGGGGTAAGAGGTGATGGGGTTAAATGGAATATTCATCTCAGCTCAGTTTTACTCTATACCGTTTCTTTCTTTAATGAAAGGTTATTTGACCCATGATTCATGCCTGTGTGATGATGACTCACATTGTATTTCTCTACTTACATTATGCTGGCAATGTGGAGACAGTTTGACTTATACTTACTCCATGAATGGGGTGACCCTACCCTGGGTGCTGACAAGCTGAATAACCACTAACAAGACTAATACCCAATTTATGCAAATAAATTGTTAAGTACAAGTACAGACAGAATGGACCTGGGAATCACGTTGAAAAAAATGCATTTTTAATGAAGATATATACATACTAGCTCATGCATGACATCTCAGGAAAGTAACATGAATGAGCCAGATTTTAGGATTTAACAATTACCAAAAATTTTACACAATTTTAGGGCAAACAGTACAGATGCTACATTATTTTAGCTAGCTACCTCAGATGATGCTGTAGGAATTATGAGGTATGTCTCTTTAGGAAGCAAGATAATAATAAAAGAAAAAGTTGATTAATGAACTCCATTCAATTAAGCATTATTATTATTATTATTGAGTACCTAACATGTACTCATGTACTTTGTGCTAATAGGAATACAAAAACAAGCAAGATACAATTTCTGGTCTAAAATATTTTAATGTGTAATGGGGAGAGTGGGAAGAATAAGACTCATTTAACAAAAGAAAGCAGAGTAAAATAAGTGCCACAGAGACATACAAAGTACTCGAGGGATTTGAAAGAGAGCAGGAACTCAAAATACGGAAGATCGTATCTAAGTGATCTAAGCTGATCTAAGATCTGAGTGGGAAGGTCTGCAGGTAGAGAGGTGAGCCATGGAAAAGAGGAATGGAAAATAAATTTGGATGATGTTGAATACTGGGCTCGTTGTTAGTTTATTTCAATAGATAATAGATGACGATTTCTAATCGGGGTAATCATGTAATTGCAGGTGTACTTTAGAAAAATTACATGAGCTTAAGAATTCGGGGGTAGAAACGTGTAAGGGGACAAAGGAAATTAGAAGAGTTAGGAAGCTTGTGTAATAGCTGGGGTGGCAGTGGGAATAAGAAACAAAGGAGAGGTTTACTTGAGGGGTTCTATAGCATGTCTATCAAGGTGAAGACCAATCTTGGTTTTTGTATCTCTGCTACTTAATTTAGTCCCTAGAAAATTTCCTAGTGATCCTATTTTTTGAACTATAATTTGAGAAGTGATTTGAAAATGGGAGTAAATATTTACTACTGGAAAAATCTTGAATCTATAATTCTTGACCTCAATGGCATTAATCTCAAGCACGGGTGACTCACTACCTGCTTTCTCTGCTTCATGTCAAGTGGCCAAGAATCCCTGGATGATGTCATGAAATAATGCTGATTAGGTTACCTGCAAATTTATGCAATATAACTAGGTCAACTGTAGTCCTCAGACCTTAATCTCATTTTTTGGGAAATACAGTTGATGAACAATATTATGTTAGTTCAGGTATTCTATATAGTGATTTAACATTTGTGTACATTAGAAATGATTACCACGATAAGTCTAGTGACCATCTGTCTCTGTACAAAGTTATTACAATATTATTGACCATATTCCTTATGCTATATGTTACTTCCCCATGATTTAATTGTTATATTAACTGGGGTTTGTACCTCTTAATCCTTTTCATTTATTTATTTAACCCTCCCCCCCCCCCCCCCACCCTCCCCTCCTTTTAGTCAACCACCTATTTGTTCTCTGTATCTATGAGTCTGTTTTTGTTTTGTTTTTTAAACCTTTTTCTTTTTTAAATAAAGTTATTTATTTATTTTTGGCTGCATTGGGTTTTCGTTGCTGCACGCGGGCTTTCTCTAGTTGTGGCGAGCAGGGGCTACTTTTCGTTACGGTGTGCATGCTTCTCATTGCGGTGGCTTCTCTTGTTGCGGAGCGTGGGCTGTAGGTGTGCAGGCTTCAGTAGTTGTGGCACGCGGGCTTAGTTGCTCCACAGCATGTGGGATCTTCCCGGACCAGGGTTTGAACCCGTGTCCCCTGCATTGGCAGGTGGATTCTTAACCACTGCACCATCA